CGAATAGTATATTTACCTGATAGGCTTGTGGTACAAATTATGTAAGATCATACATGTGAAGCGCTTGAAAGAGTACCTCGGTATGTATGTTTCCAAACTTTAAAACATGAACTTGTATTTAAAATTAATGTCTTCCATTTAAATATACTGCCTTTGCTGAAATGTAATTTTTAGTAGCATCTTTTTTCAGCAGTGTTAGAGAGTCTACAAACCCTGATTCAAGTGATGTTAATTCTACAAATTTATTCATAATTATTGTTGTTTTTTCCTTGCTTGTATTTTGATTAATGTTGTACCATTTTAAGAGGCTTTGTGGCCAGAGCTGCTAATTGTTATTGGAAAGGAAAAGGGCTTGCATTTTGAGACCATCTGTGAGAGTTATATTGTCTAAAACCGACAAGAGATCATGGCAGATGGTGAGGTCACAAAGATTGACTTTTTGAGCTTGACATAATGTGTTCACAAAGGTGGAAGAAGAAATCCGATTTATTTTTTTAACCAACAGAAAGCTTGGTGTCAGAGAGAAGTGTACAATTGTTGAGTCTGGGCAAAACATAATGCACTAGCTTATCTTTGAGAATTACCAGTGCTGTTTAAAGATGGCAATTTCTTGAAACATTCAGTGCCATGTTTATTTACTTTCTAGACACTTGGTTTAAGTCATATATTTCAAATAATTTGTAGCTTACAGACAATGTAAAAGAAAGGCAAACACTTTAAAAATAATTAGAAACGTATATTTTTAAATTAAAAGGCTACAAGCTCTCACTCAAAGCCAATACAGCATACTTCTTCATTTTTAATTGAATGAAGCAGATCTGTCACAATCCTATTTCCTTTTGTAACATTTATCTTACTGTAATTTTATATAATTTAAATTACATTTGAAGGTTTACGTGATTTCTCTCATTTACTCTCATTTCTCTCATCTCTAGTAACTGGATTAGTGCCTTATGCATAGTGGGCGTTCAGTGTTTGCTGGATGAATAAATAAATGAATGAATGAAATTATTGCCTAATCTTGTTAATTTTAGAAGAGTTTTTCTTAACCACAATTAAAAACTTTTCTGTTTTAAATTGGATTTATGTTGTGGTATTTTTCTCTTGGACTATGTGTGAATGATGTATTATTTATTTTGGAGGAAGAAACCTTAATTTGTCATGAGAAATCAGTGAACTGCTTTCCCCCCTCACATTGATTGAGTGTTACCCTTGTGCTAGGCAGTATCTTAATTTTTCATGCCTTGACTCATTTAATTAGGTAGCTATACTATTACAGTTTTGCAGATGAAGAAATTGAGGCACAGAGACTTTAAGGTAAATTTGCTCAAGAAGCTCGCGCACTTTGGCTTCTTTCAAACATTTATCTGTGAGGTAACATTTAGAGCTTCCAATCTGTGTTAGCTCTGGAGAGAAGATACAAAGGGAATATTAAACAGAATTGTGTTTCATTTTGTCAAGCTCATCAATGTGGCTAAAGCTGTATTTTTATTGGTAGTTATCGCTATGGTGTGCTGAAATAGTAGTAACACTGTTAATTTCTTTTATTTGCAAGAATAGCACAGTGCCACTCAATAATACAGCCTTTAGGAAATATAATACAAGACTGAATACTAAATATAGTAATGAAGCAGATGCATGGGGACAGGCAGCTCTTGCCATTACAGCTCTTGCCATGACATGCCACACTCTGGACATGAAGAAATGGAGAGAAGGGAAAAAAGACTAGCCAGATCTGGTAGCCCAGCCCAGCAGTGTCTGCTTATATTCCATAGGCCAGAATTAGCCAGAATTCCATCAGATGGTCAGCCTGTTGGACAGGGAGACTAGACTGAGAATGTGGTATTTTTAGTTGGACACATTGCCACCTTCAATTTCTCCTAAGGAAGAAGAGGAAAATGATATTTGGTAGGTAACAGTGTCTGCCTTAGATAGACATAGCGGGTCTCTGAAATTTACCAGGGACTTTGGATGGAAGAGACCTTATTGGTTTTGTTATAACGGTCATAAGATAATCTTAAAAATATTTAAAATTGAATTTTTGTGTGGTTAGGAGCGTTCAGTGTTTGTGTGTAAATTGGAGGGTATTTGGAACATTGAATTGGTGGATTTGGTGGTTTTCACTTTACTCCTAACATAACCCTAAAAATCTCAGTATACCTGTTTTTCTGATGAGGACACTGAAGCACAAAGAGGTTAAGTCACTTGGTCAGGGTCACACAGCTAATAAATTTCAGAGCTGAAATTGAGCCTAGATTAAAAAATAATCCGTTCACTTTCCACTCTGCTAACAATGCTGCTTTATTTAGTAACTTCAAACAAGACACTTAGAATGAGTTGTTATTTTGATTTTTTCAGCTCTTGCTTTTTTTTCTTCTTCCTTTGAGATCCCACTGATCTTTGGTTGCTTAATGAGTGAAAAGAAATATAAATTTACCTCTAAGTACTGTTTCAGCTGCACTTTACAAGTTTTATTATTTTCATTGTTCAGGTCCAAATATTTCAAATTTCCTTTTTTAATTCATGAGTTGTTTGAGCATGTAGACATATAGTTTTTGTTTTTTAATTTATCTGTATTGTTGAAAGTATTACAGATGTCCCCCTTTTTTCCCCCATTGACCCCCCTCCTGCCCACTCCCATCCCCTCCCCAGGCCTTCCCCGCACTATTGTCTGTGTCCATGGGTTATGCATATATGCATATAGGTTCTTTGGTTAATCTCTTCCTGTCCCTCCTCGCCTTCCCTCTGAGAATCGTCAGTCTGTTGCATGCTTCCATGTCTCTGGATCTATTTTGTTTGTCATTTCCTTTTGTTCATTAGATTCCACATATAAGTGAGATCATGTGATATTTGTCTTTCACTGACTGGCTTATTTCGCTTAGCATAATACTCTCCAGTCCTTCCGTGGTGTCTCAAAGGGTAAAAGATCCTTCTTTTTTACAGCTGCATACTGTTCCATTGTGTAAATGTACCACAGCTTTTTTATCTCCTCATCTACTGATGGGCACTTGGGCTGTTTCCAGATCTTAGCTATTATAAATAATGTTGCTATAAACATAAGGGTGCATATTTTCTTTCTGATCGGTGCTTCAGGCTTCTTAGGATATATTCCTAAAAGTGGGAACACTGGGTCAAATGGCAGTTCCATATTTAATTTTTTGAGGAAATTCCACACTGTTTTCCATAGTGCTTGTACCAGTCTGCATTTCCACCAGCAGTGCACTAGGGTGCCCTTTTCTCCATATTCTCACCAGCACTTGCTGTTTGTTGATTTATTGGTGGTAGCCGTTCTAGCAGGTGTGAGGTGGTATCTCATTGTCATTTTAATTTGCATCTCTCTGATGGTTAGTGACTTTGAGCATTTTTTCATTTGTCTCTTGACCATTTGTATGCACTCTTTGGAGAGGTGTCTACTTAGGTGCTCTACCCATTTCTTAATTGGATTGTTTGTCTTTTGTTGAGTTATATGAATACTTTATATATTTTGGAAATTAACCTCTTATCAGATATATCATTGGCAAATATGTTCTCCCATACAGTGGTTACCCTTTTCATTTTGATGCTGGTTTCTTTCTCTGTGCAGAAGCTTTTTATATTGTTGTAGTCCCATTTGTTTATTTTTTCCTTTGTTTCTCTTGCTATGTGAAATGTCTGATATTTTGCTGCCTATATTTTCTTTTAGGATTTTTATGGTTTCATAGCTTACATTTAAGTCTTTTATCCATTTTGAGTTTATTCTTGTGTGTGGTGTAAGTTGGTGGTCTAGTTTCATTTTTTTCCTTGTACCTGTCCAATTATCCCAACACTATTGAAGAGACTATCTTTACTCCATTGTATGCTCTTGCCTCCTTTGTCAAATATTAATTGACAAATATTAATATTAACTGGCTTGGTCAATTTCTGGGTTCTCTGTTCTGTTCCATTCATCTATATGCTTGTTCTTGTGCCAATACCGGGCTGTTTTGATTACAGTGGCTTTGTAGTATAGCTTGATATCTGGTATTGTGATCCCACCAACTTTATTCTTTCTCAAGATTGCTGTGGCTATTTCAGGGTCTTTTTTGGTTCCATATAAATTTTTGGAGTTTTTGTTCTAGTTCTGTGAAATATGCCGTTGGTATTTTAACAGGGGTTGCACTGAATCTATAGATCGCTTTGGGTAGTATGGACATTTTAATGATGCTAATTCTACCAATCCATGAACATGGTATATTCCTCCACTTGTTTATATCTTCTTCTATCTCTTTTTTCCAACATGCTATAGTTTCACCTCCTTGGCTAAGTTTATTCCTATGAATCTTAATTTTTATTGTTACAGGGTTAAATGGGGTTGTTTTTTTAGTTTCTCTTTCTGAGAGTTTATTATTGGTGTATAAAAATGCCATCGATTTCTGGGTGTTAATTTTGTATCTAGCTACATTGCTGAATTCATTTATTAAATCTAGTAGGGTGGAGTCTTTAGGATTTTCTGTGTACAATATGATGTCGTCTGCGAATAATGACTGTTTTGCATCATCTTTTTCAATTTGGATGCCTTTGGTGTTTATTGTCTGGTTGTAGGCCCTTTAAGCAGGCTCCTATATACTTTTGATATGACTCTGACATTTTTTGAGCCCTTCCTTTCTTTAGGTACCATAAAATGTTCTAGGTTTATCTTGCACATTTCCTGCCCCAGCCCTGGAGTTGGCTATTTCTCCAAGAAGCCCTAGTGTTTCTTTCAATGGGTTGTCTAAAGCAACATAGTATATTTCAAAGCCGAGGCCCTATTTACTTGTTAGCTGAGTTAGCTAAGTTGATTTGGTCAAAATATTTAACCTCTCTAAACCCCAATTTTTATCTGGAAAATGGGGATTAAAATGGTACATACCTTATAGTTTTGTTGTGAGGATTAATTTAAATAATTTACTTAAAGAAAAATGTATGTCATATAGTAAATAGGACATAAATTTGCCTATTATTATTATTACATTACTATTCCCTCTTCTTTCTTTCTTTAACAGGATATTTTTTTAAAGAATTATTGAAGACAGTTTTCTTATTTTTGTTTTTAATGGCTTTACAGAATTTTAAGTCGAATACAATCTGACATGACGGCAAAAAATGTAAGTATTTGTAAAAATTTTAATATAAGTATTTTTAAAGTGAATTTCCTTTTCCTACAGGTACATTTTTTTTCACCACTCAGGTTAATCAAGTTCAATTTACTGGCATTAATTTATAATTGTTATTGTTTATGCAAAGAATGAGATAGTAAATTTTAATGCTATTGAATACAGTACCCTAGTGGACATGGTAGCATTATCAACTGCTGCTAAGTTGCTCCTTCTCAACAGCTGCAAAACTGCTATCTCCAGAAAATTCCTCACCTGGCTCCTTTGATGAGTACTATGATAAATTTGTTTTAGTATTGCTGGAAAGTTTCTTGCCCTTATTGTTTTCTTTGGTTCAGTATTTTTCTTTGGATTTATCTGGGAAATACATACACTCAGACATTGTTCAGAAGAAGCTTGCTATCCTTCATGACATAATTCCTGAGGTGACATTAGACCTTAGATGTTTGGAGAAGTTATTCAATTTTTTTTGTTGTTGTTGTTTGAAATGATCATTTCTGAATCTACTTTCTTTGAAGTTACATTCTTGTTGTCACCCTGTATCAATGGATTTGTTTCCAGTTATGGTGAAGGATTATGCCAGGAAATAAACACTGATGCATGCAGGGAAATAATTTACTGTAACTGCTTTACTCTTCCTAGGTTATTATGTTGGAATCTTTGTTGTTAATCCACACCCAAGGATATTTTTCCATTGATTTTTTAGAGAGAGTGAAAGGGAAGGAGGGAGAGAGAGAGAAACATCAATGTGAGAGAGAGACATTGATTCGCTGCCTCCTGCATGTGCCCTGACCAGGGCTGGGGATCAAACCTGCAACCCAGGTATGTGCCCTTGACTGGGAATCGAACCCAAGACCCTTTGGGAGGGGACCCTCTAACCACTGAGCAACACAGCCAGGCCTGTGTTGGAATCTTTGATTGCAGGTCACAGAAATCAGCGTAGACTACCTTAAACAAAAGGGAATTTATTATAAAGATACAGGGATGTCTCGAGGAATTCAAGATTAGGAATTTAGTGGGCCCTCGGAAAGATCTGAGTCCAGGAACTTGAAATCTACCAGGAACTGAGACGGTATTTGGTTTCCACTTGCCATCTCTGCTTGTCCCTGTGCATCTGCTTCATTACTCTGTCTCTGCACACCATCTTCCTCAGTTCTCCAGTTAGCATCTCAAAGGACGTGGTACAGAACCAGCCTGTTCAGAGAGAGAAAGTGCGGACGGGAGGGACAGAGGCTGCCCAACAGATTCTGTCTGCCTATGCTCGCCCCGGCTCCTTGGGAAGGGCCTCTGGCAAGGCTTCAGTCAGATACCCAGTAGTGGTTTGGTTAGTCGTGACCAGGAGAAGCAGGCCTTATATTGAGTAAAAAGGTCTCTTTGTGAGCCAGAGAACTAGTTCAAAATACTACACATCTAAAGAATAGCGTTAAAAAAATAAACCTTTATTACTTATCTTTGTTTTGCTATTATTAACCTTGCTTTTAGCATGTGTTAGTAGCTATAAGCAGATACAGATTTTGCTTTATTAACATGTAGTTGATTTTGTTAGGATAAATTATCAGGAGTGGTTTGCTTTAATCTGACACTCTTGTATATATTTGTTAAAGTGCCATCTGGGGAAAAGAAGAAGCAAGATTTTAGTCTGTGTGTTGGGAATTTTCTTATAGGATGTTACCTTGGTTTTCTCTCCTTCAGAGAAAAGGGGATGTGAAAGCTATCCCGAGCCATAAAATGGTTAACATTTAAGTAGCAAAAGTATATTTTGACTTTCAATGTACCTTGACTCAAATATCTTCCTAGCCATATGTACAGTTTGCTATATTAAAAGTTGTTTCCTGAAAGTAACATAAAACATTTGATCCAGTGATAATTACACTCCCATTATTTTGTCTATGTATTTGGAAGAAATCAAACAATGAGCAACACAGTTCTTCTTCTGCGATGGCAACCTGGGGGGAGAGGGATAAGCGATGAGTTGACCCTCTTCTGAAACCCTGCAGTTGGGAACATGGAGAGATCCAGCCTCAGACTAGGCTGAAGCATGTGGGAAAGAACTGAAATAGGCTGTCTGAAAACTCCCAGTCAAGTTTACTAGCCATCCTGCAGTAGATAAGAACATTTTTGTGGCTTTTAATATGTTTTGTCAAGATACTTACTAAAAGGATTAGACTAGTTTACTTATGATGCCATAAGCAATTCATTCTCCTCCATCCCCACCGATCTCCAGCAGATACATGCGCGCAACACTGTTCCAGGCTCCTGCCTTCTTGGGTCTTATAGTGCAGTGAGAAAAGATAATAAATACATATATAGCGTTAGGTAATGATAAATGTTATGAAGAAAAACAGGGTAAAAGGGGAGAGTGACAGGGATGAGGGAGTCCTCTTTCAGCGAGGTGTTCAGAAGAGTCCTCTTTAAGAGGAAATGACATTTAGGGCAGTGCTCTTGAGTCTCAACCCAAGAAGGAGCCAGCTGTGTGGATATCTGGGGAAAGAGCATTCCAGGTAGAGGCAGGTGAAAGTGTGGTTGTTCAAGGAACAGCAAGATGACCAGTTTATAGGTGGAACAGAGTAAGCAAGGGAGAGCGGTAGGAGCCTGATTATGTGGAGCCTTGAAGACTGGGGTAAGGGGTATGTATTTTAAATGTCAGTGAGGAGCTATTGGAGGTTTTGAGGGTAGTTGCATGGCCTGACTTCGCATTTTTAAAAGTTCGTTCTGGCTATGAAGTGAATAGACTGAAGAGGGGTGTAGTAGGAGCAGGGACTTGTTTGTCTGGTACTTATCCCAGTGGTTCAAACAACAGAGTGTGGTGATTTGGCCTGGGGTGATGATATATTGGAGATGGGGAAAAGTAGCTGGATCTAGGAAGTGTTTAAAGGGACAGCCATCAGGACTTACTAATTAGGATACAGGGGCCCGGTCGGCGTGGCTCAGTGGTTGAGCATCGACCTAGGATCCAGGAGATCTCGGTTGGATTCCCGGTCAGGGCACATGCCTGGGTTTTGGGCTCGATCCCCAGTGGGGGGCATGAAGGAGGCAGCCGATCAATGACTCTCTTTCATCATTGATGTCTCTATCTCGCTCTCCCTCTCCCTTCCTCTCTCTGAAATCAATAAAAATATATTAAAAAATAAAATACCAGTAATGAGAATTCTTTAAAAAAAAAAAAAAGGATACAGGGGCAGGGGAGAGGTTAAAGACTTCTCAGTGTTTGTCTTGTGTAACTCGGTAAAGAGGAACTCTTCGGGTAGTGCAGGATCTTGTGGCAAACTCAAGAGTTATTTGGAACATACTAAAGTTGAGGAGCCTAAAAACATCCCGGTAGAGATAATTGGCTAGGCAGTTTGGTAAGTGACTCTGGAGGTCAGGGGAAGGCTTGAGGCCGGATATAGAAATTTTGGAGTCATTTCATATTATTTTAAAGCAGAGGAACTATATGAGATTGTATGCATGTATAGAGAATACGTGAGGACCAAGGAGACTCGAGGAACGGCCAGCGAAGGAGGCAGTGTTACCCTGATGATCTAGACACCTAGTGAAGAAAATGTTTCAAGAAGTGGGGAGTGATGTGTCACATCACTGAAAAGTGACTCTTTGATATGAAGGAGATTGCCTGGTCATATATTCAGTTATTTACACCTTTATTTTTTGTCTCATTTTGCATTTTTTTTATGAGAACAATTCTCTGGTCTCTTCTTTATGGTTGCACGCAATAGAAAGCCTATTCAAAATAGCTTATGGCAAAAAGTGGAACATATTTGTTCATATAACTGAAAAGTCTGGAGTACTCTGGCTTCAAACACATTTGTATTTAGGGGATCAAATGATGGTGCCAGGGGTCTGTTTCTCTTTTTCCATCTCTTGGCTCTATATGGTGGCATAACAGCCTACATTGGCCTTAAATTGTTTATCTCAGAGGAAAAAAGGGAAGTTTTCTTTTTTAGCATTTATCTTTCAAATTCCACATAGAAGTTTTGGTTGACCCTGCTTGGCCTACATGCTTAGACAAGCCAGCATGAAGAAGGAAGTTGGTACCATAAACGGCCAGCTCTGGGTCAGGGTCCACTTCTGTTCCCATGGCACAACTGAGGCTCTGAGACGAGCAGACCTACCAGACTACATGGACTGTGGGATGGATCACTTTACAAAAGGAAGCTATGCCGAGATGGCAATATATTCATTGTATTTGGGATAAAATTGTTATATAATAGTATCTAGTATCCAGTGATACTCTTCTAGACCCAAAATGCAGGTGTGTCTAACTTAATTAAGCTCACTCAGAATATAATAAAGAATTTGAAAGGTAATAAGAGATATATATATTTTTTGCTTTATCAAGAATCTTTTAAAAAGTATGTAAGCCATAATACTCATTACAGAAAAATTAGAAAATACAGATAAAGAAAAGAAACTAGCCTAGAGATTATGAGCAAAATTGTCCCTGTTATATTTACAAATGTGTATATATATGAGCCAAATGAATATATGTTGTAAGTATATTTTTAAATTTTAATAATGTATTTTAGTTAACCCAGTATCTCCAAAATATTGTCATGTCAACATGTAATCCATACAAAAACTTTTTTTTACTTTTTATTGAATTTATTGGGGTGGCATTGGTCAATAAAATTATATAGGTTTCAGGTGTACAATTCTATAATACATCATCTGTATGTTATTTTTTTTTAAATAGAAATGAGGTCATACTGTTTTGTAACCTACTATTTATCTTAACCTCTATGATGAATGTCTTTTCTTATCTTGATAACTCTGCAACAGCATTTTAAATGGCTGTTTTTTGATATCTATTATATGGACATTACACCACTTTCTAATATTCACCATTAAATTATTACCATTTTTTTTTCTTTAAAATTAAAAAAGATTTTTTTGCTTACTTGCGGAATTATTTCCATGAGGCAAAGTCTTACATAATTACTGGCTCAAAGGGTGTGTGCTTTCTGGGGGGCTTTTGATTCATATCGCTAAATTGCATTTCAGAAAGATTGTACCAATTTATATATTCAGCAGTGGAGTATCAGAGTGCCATCTCCATTTATTTTCTTTTTAATCCTTGCCAATCTAATCAGCAAAAATGGGATGTGACTTACTGCAGTTCTCTGATTACATTGTTAATTAGGTCAAACTGGTATTCTATATGTTTATAGGTTATTGGCATTTCTTTTTTATACATGGTGTAGTCAGTGTTGAAGTGTTAAAAGCCACTGCCATTTGAATAACAATCCATACTTGAACATTGCTTTAATGTTAAGCAACATGTTCACATAATTTTTAATTTCATCTTGGAGCTCTGAGCTTTTCGTACACAAACAAATCATCTTTATTTTGCAGCTACTGTTCCAAGGTCACCTTGCTTGTGAATGGTAGAGCTCTGAATTTTTTTTCTTTCAGTTATGTTGATCTGAAATGTTAAATGTTAGTGAAACTGTAATGCTATTTTGGGGGAATATGGTTTGATCCTTAAAAATTGGGCTTGGATATTTTGTATTCCAGAGACAGTTAGGACTGCTTATAGTATGCAACACAGTGTTTGAATATCCACATAGAAAACTTTCTCAGGACCTTATTAGATGAAAATTTTTACATAAAATGAGTTCACTTTTTTCTCTTGCCCTGTGAAACATTATAGAAAGATCCTTTTTAAATAAAATAAGGAAAGAATAGCTAACATTTTACATGCCTTTCCTAGCAACTTTTTCTACTCTCAAACAATCTGCCTTTTCTTTGAGTCTTTAAACTGTGAAGTATTTATGAAAGCAGAAATTAATACACTTTTGAAGTTTTAGTAAATAAATTTGGTAGTATTTATAAAAGCTCTAAATATAAACATCTTCCCTCCATCTATGAGACCAAAATTGGCAGACATTATTGACTCACAATTGACCTTTATCTTTTTAGAGTAAAATTTGTTGATTATTAAGGTGCAGGTGCACAGATGCCAAAAAAGTTTATGAATTTGTTTCCTGCTTCACTCTGCAGAAGTTGGACATTAAGAGCAGGTGTTTAAACATAACAGTAACCCAGTAACTGTGAACACTCGACTGTGAATATGTGGTTTGAGTTGAGGTTTTTGCCGTTATCTTTGTATAATAACAAAAAGGGATAAACTGATGTTTTTGAAGTTATTGTAATACTTACACTGAACAGGCACATTGTATTAAGCATGGAATATAGTAAAGGCTGCCTTGGCCTTTCTTTTTACAGTAGAGCACCAACAGAAGTTTTGTCTTTCTCTTCTTTTTATAGCAGAAGAGTTTAAAAGTAGAGGCATGTTAATGATGCAACAGTAAACTCTTGGCATTTACAAATTGAATACTTAATATTAGCACTTGTGAGCAACTCTGGAGATCCATGTAGTAATTTGCAAATTTTGCTGCAAAGGTTTTACGTTACTTCTAATAGAGTATTTGTGAGAAGCTAGACAGAATTAAGTATCTACACCATTATCTAAAAAGCTATGTTTTAGGTATCTTCGCTCAGCTGGTGTCACAAAAATTTAATATTAGATGCTAGAGATAGGTTTGTATCAGAATTACTTTTCCATGATATTTAGAAATATTTCTGATAACATATCTCTTAACAAAAAAAAACCCCACAGTTATTAGTAGAGCATTTGTACCAAATAAAATAATTAGCCCTTACATTATGAAATTGTAAAGTATCAAATGAGTGCTTAGGTAGACTAATGTTAAAGCAGTGGGTAGTTTAACATAAGACAGGTGTGCAGATGCAAAGTTATGAAGCATTGTGTGCTTTGAAATCCCTTCATTGTGATAGTACTTTGAAAGGATATTTGAGGTGCCAAATTAGCACAGATGTTTTACAGTTACAGATCTACAAGGATTAAAGCAATAATATAATAGTAATAGTAGAACCATTTATTGGATGCTTGCTTTGTGTCAAAATTTCCAAAATGGAGATGTGTGTTTTTTCCTCCTGACTATAATACATTATAAAACTGTCTGATGATACTACCATATTCAGTTCTGATTTCAAACAGTCCAGTGAACAGCACATTAAATGAAATAAATTGTCTGAAGGTGAATCTATGAACACACTTGGTCTAGGTAGTCCCTCAAGTATCATGTTAATAATGGATGTTAACATGCATTGAGCACTCGGTGCCAAGCACTGTGCTGAATGCTTTACATGAATTATCTTACTTAATCTTTTTAACCACCTGCGCACTGGTAAGCACTTCTAACACCCTCCAATTTACAGATAAGGAGACTGAAGTAGAAAGAGCTTAATGAGCCAGAGTAGGAACCTAAGCATTGGACTTGAGCCTCTGCACTGTGTTGTTATTATTATTTAAATATTTTTAAACAGAAAAGAATATACTCGTTCGGGAAAGGTGAGGGATTGAGAAGACAGGCCCTGGGTAAAAATTATTATGACAACACCTGGAGTAGCTAGGCCTGCCTAGGAGGGAAACAGGCACTGCCACACCACCACAGGGGACAGCTACTGCCTGAGGCTCAGGTGACCAGTTCACACACCATGCAAAGCTGTACAGATCAAAGTTATAAAAATCTTCCAGCTCATCATGAAACAAGTCCCACTCATCTTCAGAGTTGTGTTGTGTTATTAATGGTCTTTATTTGATCCATTATATGTCATAATGTGAAAAGTATTATAGGCAGTGATTTTGAATAGTAAAAACTAAGGGCAGCAATGAGGGTGAGAAATTCTGTTACATCTATTGGCAACTTCATGGCTGCCACAATACTTGTTTTCAAAAACCATCAGTAAAATCTGTAGATCTAAGTTCTGCTCATAAGTAACATTTTATTAATTTTACTTTATCTGGATAATTCATGTTTTCCCCATTTCAAGCAATATGGCAACATTTTCTTTTTAACCCTTTCCTAGAGTTGATATAATTAATTCATTTTTATGTGGCTATATTAATATTTGATATGGACCTCTGGTGGAAGGTGTAAAATAGCTTATTAAGTGATCATATAATACTTTAGATCTTCTTTTTAACTGTTAAAACTATTTTATTCAGGTTGGTTTGAGTTCCACAAATGCAGAATTAAGAGGATTTACAGATCAGAATCTCAGTCCAACAAAAGGTAAGGACAGTTGAATAAAATTTTTCTGCATTGAGCTAGTTTTATTGCATTCGTTTTATAAAACATGAAGGTGCATGCATTACTTTATGTATAATAATACTTATATACTATTACTGTGTTGTTATCATATACCAAATAACTTGTATCATAGGAAAGTCAGTTACCTCTGACAGGTAGAGAGAGAATGTGTGTGACTTTTGTCCATGATCTCTCAGACCATACTTGATCAGTGATCCTATTACAATTGAAACTACTTAAGTCATTTTCTTCTTGATTTTCTTGTTTGAGAGCCCTTCTTAGTGGTTAAACTTGTAAGGAACTACAATAGAATGATTGAATGTATTATAATTCCTGTGTCTAATACATGGCTTAGTGGAGGAATACTTATATCAGAAATCTGACCCACCGGTACAGGAACTTATGCAGGACACTGGAGGTATCTTTCAATATGTATCTTTCAACAGTATCCTTTAGTGTTTGGAGATAGCACACTGAAATATTTATGGTTGAAACGACATGACATATGAGATTGGCTTCAAAATAATCCACTGGGGGAAGAAGAGTAAAGTGGGTGGAATTATTAAAAAAACAAAATTGTCTATGAGTTGATTAATTGCATAAGCTGGGCAACAGCTATGTGAGGTTTCATTATTTCTTTCTCCCTTCCTTTGTATATATTTAAAATTTTCCATTATAGAAGGTAGGAGCAAAATGTCTGCCATTACAAAACAAATAGCTATGAGAGGAACAGAAGCTTCCTCAAAAGATTTATGTCTAAGGTGAGCTATGCACTCTGGAGAGAAGGCTAGAGAAGTCTGCATTTCAGTATAAAAATGTCTGGCTTAATAATAATGGCCTGTAGAGTACTCTGAGAGTTTAAATATGTATTTTGAAGCAGTAAAAGAGATCATTCAAGCTTGATGCTTCAATTTTCCCCTGAATTTTTTACCGAGGTGAAATACATATAACATAAAATTTGCCACTTCAATCATTGTTACATACGTAGTTTAGCGGTGTTACGGACATTGACACTGTGCAACCATCGCCACCATCCATCTCCATAACTCTTCATCTTGCAAAAGTAAAACTCTGCACCTGTTGAACAATTAACTCCACGTTTCCCCCTCTCCCCAGCCTGGCAACCACCATTCTGCTTTCTGTCTTTCTGATTTTGCCTACTCTAGATGCCTCACATAAGGAGAACCACACAGAATTTGTGTGTTTGTGACTGCCTTATTTCAGCTGCTATAATGACCGCAAGGTTAATCCATGTTGTAGGGTGTCAGAATTTCTTTCCTTTTTAAGGCTGAATACTGTTTCATTGTATGTATATACAGAGGTGGACAAAAGTAGGTTTACAGTTGTTTGTATGGAAAATAATACAATAATTCATAAATAATAATACAAGAATAAACTCACGTAATCACAACTGTAGACCTACTTTTGCCCACCCTGTGCAGTAGTCCCCACCTTATCCACAGTGTGGTTTCAGTTACCCACAGTCAACCACAGCCTGAAGATATTAAATGGGAAATTCTAGAAATAAACAATTGATAAGTTGAATTGTGAGCCCTTCTGAGTAACATGATGAAATTGTACGCTGTCCCACCCGGGGCGTGAGTCATCCCTTTGTCCAGTGTGTTTGCACTGCAGAGGCTCCCTGTCCTTTAGTCGCTTAGTAGCCGTCTTAGTTGTGGGATCAGCTGTCAGTATACAGTGCTTGTGTTCAGGTAACCCTCATTTTACTTAATAATGGCCCCAAAGTGCAAGAGTAGTGATGCTGGCAATCCGTCCATATATGCCAAAGAGAAACCACAAAGTACTTCGTTTAAGTGAAAAGGTATGTGTGTATGTGTAGGAAAAAACACAGTATACACAGGGTTCAGTATGATACACGGTTTCAGACGTTCATTGGGGTCTTGGAATGTGTCCCCCTTGGATAAGGGGGAACTACTGTGCCACATTTTGCTTATCCATTCGCCTGTTGACGACACATGGGTTGCTTTCATGTTTTAGCTATTGTGAATAATGTTGCAATGACCGTGGGAGCACAGCTCTCTCCTCGTTACAGCACAGGGAACCCAGTCAACAGTACTGTAATAACTGTGGTGCCAGGTGGGTGCTGGACTTAGCAGGGCGGCCACTTCGTAAGTTATATAAATGTCTAATCACTATGTTGCACACCTGAGACTAATATAATATTGTATGTCAACTGTAATTGGACAATAAAAATATTTTAAAATATATATCTTCTCAAGACCCTGCTTTTTAGTCTTTTGGGTATATACTTAGAAGTGGAATTGCTGGGCGATTTGGTAATTCTTTTTTTAATTTTTTGAGGAATTGCCATTCTAATTTCCCAGCAGCTGTACCATTTTACATTCCCACCGACGGTGCGCAGGTGCTCCAGTTTCTCCGTGTCCTCACCGACACTTGTCATTTTCTCTGCTTTTTAATAGTGGTCATTCTAATCGGTGTGAGGCGGTATCTCATGATAATTTTGACTTGCATTTCCCTAATGATTAGTGATATTTAGCATCTTTTCTTGTGTTTATTGGTCTTTCGTGTATCTTTGGAGAACTGTCTACTGAAGTCCTTTATTATTTATTGATTGATTTTAGAGAGAGAGGAAGGGGAGAGAATTGGGGGGTCGATTTGTCGTTCCACTTATTCAGGCATTCATTGTTTGATCCTTCTGTGTGCCCTAACCAGGGGCTGGTGTATTGGGACGATGCTCCAACCAGCTGAGCTACTTGGCCAGGCCATATGCTTCTTAATTTTTTGTCACATTATGGCATAAATAGAAATTGATAACATTTATAGGATGCACTAGGGCTAAACAAATGAGGTGGCTTAAGGTGAGGGGTAAGCTAGTCAGGAGCGCCACCTACCCCAGTTTGACACTCCTGGCTGCCCCAAAGGCCGAGGGGATCAGTATCTTAGTAACCCACAGCCTATTCACAACACAAAGGTGGAAATCTCTGCTCTAATAAATTGTACTATTCAGGTCAGGAGAAGGAGCTGGGAACCACAAGCTTGGCAGATATGGACAACTATGATATTGAGTAGTGGGACAGATAATGGAGTAATACAGTGATCTTGAAAGATCTTGAAAGAAGGGAGGGGATACCAAGTCATAAAAGGGAAGTGTGACAGAAAAAAAGCCTTCAAAAGATAGAAGACAAAGGAGAGAAGGAGGGGTGAGGTGAGGGGGTTGTGTTTGATGGTAGACTAGGCATCTGAAGGGTAAGGAACAGTCATAAAGGTCAGCCATGAATGTATGTTAATAATAACAAGAAAGTTTAGCTGTAGAGTAAAATCTTCTGTTTGTTTAATTTGATAGAATAAATGGAGAAGATGGAGACAATCATTTGCAAGGCAAAAACTAGAGAAATCAGGTTTAGAAACAGCTATTTGTTTAAAAGAAAGTTGTTCCTCTTCCTTGAGCTGTTGGCTGGTGGCAGCAAGAACCCCAGATTGAGTAAACCTATAGGGCTGGGAAAAGAGGTTTCTTTGAATAATTTTTTAGATTGGTGAAATTCAGTCAATATTTATTATGGGCCCAAGTGACAATTATATCAGAAATAAGATGTAGAGAACTATTTTACTTAATTGAAATGATGATATAACAATGACATTATAGAAAAATTTGAAAATTAGTAAAAAAATTCTACCACCTAACATAACCTTTTTGTTTTTATTTTTTTCATTCATTATTCATATACTTATGTTTTATAGTTACAAAACTAATATACATGTAATTTTCTCATCTGCTTTTTTGACCAAATGCAAAAAAACACTTGTTATACTGACGGTCTTCATAAATAGCATTTTTAGAGCTTCATACTATTTCATTGCATTTATGGATCATAATTTATTAAACATTTCCCTTTTCTTATTGCTACACACTTAAGTCTTTTTTGGTGGTTGGTTTTATTTTATATATATGATGTGCATATATCTATATACATAACATATATATAAACACATATGCATAGACATCTATATATATAGCTGTGATGTTGGACATCACAATGAATGTTTTTAGTCGGCTAAATTTTTTAATTTATTTTCTTAAGATACTCAGTACAGTTACTGGGTCATTCTCCTGCTTACAGCCTTTTTAACAGCTTCCTATTTAAATTAACATAAAATCCCAAACTCCTTACCTACAAAATCCTACCTTATGTCCCTACATATGTCTTCATCCTTACTTCCGCCACTCTTGTTTGTACCCTGTACCTCAGCCACACTGATACTACTTTTAGGAAGCTATTTGGCAGAATCTATGAGGAAATTTAAAAATATTGACTGTCTTTTACCATGTAATTAAGCTTTTAAGAGTCTGCATTAGGGAGGTAATCTTAAATGTAAAAAGATAAGCCATCATTTTTCTAGGTTTAGTTTTTGGCATTTGACTGACGTGCCTAGGTGTGGCCTGCTTGTTGGTGGGAGCCTTGCTCACATGGTTGAGGTAGTGTTTGTCATGTTTCTCTTGACCGTCCCCCCTTTCTATGCCACAGTCCCTGGAAGGAAGTCATTATGTGGAGCCCACATTTGAGGAGTGGAGAGTTTGGTCCCCCTCTTTGAGGGGGAGTATCTGTGTAACTTATTTGGGATTCTTCTGCATCCTGGATTTGTCTTTTCTTCATTCATTCATTCATTCATTCATTCATTCATTCATTCATTCAGACTATATCAGTATGGACTCATGGATATTTAGATTATACACGAGTTAAAGTCCAAGATTACTTTATTTATTTATATATTTATTGCTTAAATTATTACCACTATGGCCATTGGAAGCTTTCAGTTGGTCTTCTCTGTGTCCTTTGACATATCCCCCTCCTTGTGGGGTGCGTTGTTTGAGCACTTTCTTAGTTTTTACCACTACATGATGCTCCAGGTTCACTCTACATATTTCCTGCCCACTCCACTTTTTCCCCAAGAGTCTTGATTCTATTTAATGGAGAAAGTTTTTAGGAACCAAGATCTCAGGG